GGTCTGTCACGTTGTTGCCCATGGTCGAAGCAGCGTAAGGCCAACTCGACCATTAGAACGCAGCCAGCGTAAGATGATAGCTCGAGACCGGGTTCGGTACCCACGTCTAGAACAGAAGGCATCTTGAGCGGTACTAAACTCGAATCCAAAAGCCCTGGCGATGGTAAGTTGATTCGAAAGTCCTGGATACTGTGTCAGACTCTTAAAGGCATAGAGGTTCACATTCCGCACCTTGACGCCTCCCAGCTGACACTGTAATCCGCTACGTGTTTTCACGTAGCTTTCCAATGTGTATAAGCCCCAGAATGTGCGCCGTCGCTCTTCCAGTAGCACTGGATCTTCAGTATGCGGCAAACTGAAAAGAGGGCTATTCTGGCTTTCTCCGCTCTCAGTATTTTGATCATGGCTGACTTCGTCCATTCGATGTAGCCTCAAAAGCCTACAAAGCATGGCGGCGCGTCCCAGTGTCAGCCAACTCCTCTCCAGCTTCTGGCTTGTAGCCTCAAAGCGGCCTATCAACAGCAAGGCTTGAACGAAGTTCAGATCACTCATGCAGTCTTCTCGCTCGCATCTCTCGGCGTAATCACGCGCTAGGTTGTAGCATGTCGACTGTCGCTCGGAGTCTTCAGGGGTAATGTGAGAGCAACCCGCAAGCGCAACAGCATAGACCAAAGCACTCGCTGCAGGGCCACCGCTCACCGTTGACTCAATCATGAACTTATCTCTGTTTATGAACGGAAAGGAATAGTAAACGGATTCGAAATAGCGATCGTGCAGCGAACTTAGATCGGTTGGAGATAAGTCTTCTTCCGGGCCGCTCTGGGTCGCTTTCTGAGGCTGATTGAGAAGTAAATCATCCATGGGTTCGAGTGCCGTCAGCGGCTGGTTCATCCAGTCAAACGTCATGTTGGAGTCCATATCTTCTGCAAAAGAAGTGAATAGACCAATATCCGGAGCAGATAACCCATCTGTTGGCGCATCAACAGCTGCACTCATCTCTCTGGTATTATCGACGTCCATCGGAGTGCTAGTAGCCGTATGTTCTACGATAGGAACTGATTGCGCATGAGGTGTAGTCGTCGTAGATGAATTTTGCGCGGTAAGAGCAAGCTGAGCCTCCGTCTTGGCTAGCCGTTCCTGAAGCTGTTTGAGTTGTTCGTCGCGTGTGCGACGCGAGTGCACTTGATAGCCACATGGTTGATTGAGACGATCGCACCGTCTACATTTTGGAAGAGCGCGATCGCATCGAACTTTACGCTCCCGGCAGACCCCACAAGCGTATTGTGCAGTCGATGCCATCGTGTTGATCTGATGATTTAAGTGATAAAGTCTGGTGGCTGGACGCGCCGAAGCATTGGAAGAGAGCATCGGGATGCGCCAAGCCCTTCTGGGCTAGTGTGTAGTTCTAGCGCATTTCTATTTCAAGCAAGTCATCGAAAACTGTCGATTGCGGGTGTCTGCAGAGTTACCACAGGCTGTCTGAACAAAGCCCCGGGGTCGCTCGACGCGGGAGGTAATGCACCGCACCGCACCACTCCGACAGAACATAGTCTTTGCAATTGCTATGTATGCCTGGAAAAGTGAACGTAAACTCCGAAATGCTTGTGGCAAAGAGGCACCCTACTGCTACTGCCGCTGCCGTGTGAAGTTGGCCGCCATGTCTGCAGCATGCGGTAAGTATCAGAAAGAATAGAGTGCGCCTTTGACTTAGACTGCGGTCTGGTCCTTGGTTGGGCTGGGTCTTTGAGATGGTACTTTGGTATACGGTATGATTGCGATAGCTTTGATGTTGTTCGCTGGAGTGCTGTCTGGTGCGTCATCGCAGTACCGTGATTGTCGACGGGGCTGATGATTTGGAAGGATGCTGTTGGTCGAAGGAACGCTGGTGACTCCCAAGAGGACGTTCCTTGGTTGCGATGAGTGCGGTAAGTATCAAGTCCATTTTGAGATGTCGTCACGAACATCGTCTTCCTTCTTCCATGGTTTTGATCTTGCGATCTTTGGCAGTACAGATCAGAGCTGAGCGTCTGAGTGATGTGGTGACACCGCCTGACTCATTTCAAGGCAGAAGCAGCGATGAAGCAGGTAGGTGATGTGAAATTTTTAACGTAATTATTTAAAGAGCGGAGTCCGCGACGGCGAGAGCATCTAGATAGCGCTTGTATGTTTGTAGATGTCGAGAGCAAAGCGCTAGGCCATAGGTTTCTGAATCTTCTGTTTTGAGAGGAGCAGATCATGGTACTCTACCCATGCTGTTTTGGTAGTTTAGAAAGAAAGAGTTGATCGTATGAGATAACAAGACAACAGTGAACAGTAAACAATGCATCCTTTTCCCTGCGCCCTGCAAAACTGTTCAAAGGTCACTGCGACAGATCCCACTCGAACATGCGTTGTGCCATCGGTGCGACCCTCAGCACTCAAGCGTATGCAGATGTCCAGGCTGTACAGTTTGTTTCGCATTTGAAGACCGCAGGGCGCAGGCGAGCCATAGCGTTGCTCAGGTTCGGTTTTGCTGCCTTCTCGAACATATTCTGTTTATTGGTTTCTTTTGGTGCAATAGGACATCAAATTCCGAACAAAGAGGAGCGGAAAGATCATACGTGAGTGTGTAGTTCCCTTCGGTGGAAAGAGATAGAGAAGTAAATACGGGAGGAGACAACGGTAGTCGTTTATGTTCTTTTCGAAGAGGAGAACCCATAAGGTGCGGCGCACCGTATTTTGAAGGAAGGCACTTCGAGCACTAAGGTATAGAGAAGGTAGGAAGAGAGAAATGGGCGGAGCTTTTATAACGGTCCGCGACAGGCGTCTCAATACGTGTCAACAAGGCTGTTTTGAGACTCCATATCCTCTTCCAACCACGCTTTTTCTTCCGAACAGCCATCTAGATCACAGCCTTTGATTTTGGAGACTCTTCTCGAACAGCTAAGTAGACTTTGAAATGATGCGAAGTCGGGTCGCTGGACGACATAGATTCTTCTCTCTCATGTTTTGAATTCTCCCGTCGGGCACCAAGGCGCATCTACATCTTGTTTTGGCATTTTCAAGAACGACAAGCACAGACGACAGGAAGACATATGAACGTGTTCCATTCTTCTTTTCGTGTCGAACATTCGCCGCAATGGTAGAACTTTTTGAGAAAGAAAGAGAGGCAGAACATAGCCTGGTGGGGCGTAGATCTGGTAAATCGGAAGAGATCGTAGAGGATGTAACGAGACAAGAAAAGTAAAGGTCAGAAGAGCTTTTATATCGCTTCTAGAACGTAAGATCGATACCGAGATCGCGCCGGAAGTTTGGTTTATCAACTTCTCTGCTCTTCCTCCAACATATCTCTTTTGACCATGCGTTTTTTGTGTGTAGCACGCTTCCAAGTCCAGCCAGTGCAACAGCAGAGGTCTCCATGGGGAGTTTTCCTTGTCTTTTGATCAACTTTCCAGACACTAGTTCAACTGTCGGCGGGAGGAAAGAATCTTGGAAGTCATCAGGAGAAACATAGATTGTTTCAGAAGATCAGTTCTAGTTGAACGTCGTCATAACAAGAGAGGAAGGCAGCGCGGGGCAAACATTCTGAGTACCCAGAGCGTTTTGATTTCGAGAAAGACAGCACAGTCCCGAGGTCATTTCCGAGGACCCCAGTAGTTTTGGTGTTTTGAAAAGAAACCGTGGTATAGGACATAAGATTCGAAGGCGCAGAAGACCGTATTTTATGCCCATCTCCCACGACAGCACCGCGCCGAAAGAGCAGTAAAGCGTAAAGAATTCCCGCAAAGCTCATGCGATCTTAGCCTGTGATTTTTCGAAATGTCCCAAAACCAGAGTTCCACCAGCGCCCACATGTAGAGCTCCATGGGCTCTTTTGAGCACCCGAAGCCATGCGATGAGCGGCAATGCATTTTTTTTCCCGCCAATCTCGAAGATCGCGACATGATAAACACACTTTTGTCTTTTTGGAAACCATCCATAGTGGTTATGGACATTTGAGGTGTTGTTTGAACAAAGAGGAAGAGAGCGGAGCAGAAATTCATCGGCACTTTGTCGACAACGTTTTGGAAAAGCAGGAGCCGACAGAACATCAACGTAGGGATGCTGAGTTTTTGGAGTGTCACACCCAGACTGAGATAATGAAGGAGAAGAGATTGAGCAGCAGCAGTAGATCTTTTATACCCAGACAGACCACCATCGCCGAGCCTCTACACCTGATTTCCGCAAAGAAGCTGAGTGAGTGCATGTCCAGCTCGGGTTCGTTCCTTCAATAATGCAGGCTCGGTGATGTGCGCTGTCAGCGCAATACCATATTTCTAGCGAATGGTGTTTTTGAGCGCATGCAGTCCAGTCAAGCACAACTTTGGAAGCTCTAACCTCTCCCGTCTCGTTCAAGTAAAACCCAAACACCATGGAGCCTACGTTGACGTTGGATCACTCACTTTGCATCGATGCAGGCTGCAGACCCAAAATTTTCAGTCATGTTCTCAATTACTACTTCAAAAGAAGCGACAACTATACTAAATGTACGCCGCGAGCTACATGCAGGAGGCTACCCAATTCCCAAAACGCCGCCATTTACCATAAATGCTCGGGTATGATGCAGAAGAAGAACCACACCCCAATTTGCCCCCAATCCCTTCCCTTCCCCGCATCATGCAACACATCAAGGAAATTCGTTCAATCAAGAGTATTAAGTACAAGTTTCATCAAGCAGCCGGGCCGGGAACAGCAGGGCCATCACCACCAAGACAGAGATCCGAGATAGATCCGGGTGGAGGTGGGGCAGGTCTCGTGGGCGGCTGAGGCGGAGGCCGTGGAGGGAGCGGCGGGGGAGGCCCCGAAGAGCGCCCGGGCTTCCTTTTGACGAACGAATGCAATTGGCTCAAGCTGTCGCTCGCACTTCGAAACTGCTCATAGGCTTGCTGGATTTCTGCCAGTTTCGCCAGCCTCTCTTGTTCGGTCAACTTTCTCGGACTACAGACTGTCAGCACACCTCCAGCTCACACTCCTCAAGAGATCTAATGGTACCGCGGTGGGGTTCCTGTTCCGCCATTGGGAACACCGCCGTTGGGGTGCGGTTGGAACTCCATCTCGCGCTTCATCATCTCAAGCGTTGAGGGGAAGTATGGCTCGACGCCGTAGGTCTTGAGGTAGCTGGCCGTCTTCTCGATGCGCTTGATCTCGCGCTTGACGTCCCAGCCCTCGCCCTCGCCGAAGCGGCGCTGCACGACATCGACCATGGTCTCGTCGAGTCTGTTGTAGAAGTCGCGGCGGGCTGCTATGTCGCCGGCGTCAGCACTGTCGATGCCGCCGTGGGAGTTGAGGTTGCCGCCGAGCTTCAGGATGAGGTCGAAGGCGTAGCGCGGGCCGGACGGGAGGAGGGTCAGGCGCTGGATGTCGGGCAGGAACTTCAGCATGGCCGAGGCAAAGTGTGACGAGGAGATGGAGTCGTTGAGGTCGTCCTGCAGGCGGTGCAGGTCGAAGTTGACGATGGTGATCTTGCGGTCGAGCTGGGCGTTGAGTGTGGGCGCAGCGTCGGCGGTGGTCGTGTCCATGATCTTAGCAATTGAGGCAGGAACATCTGGGCAGGTCAGTACAAAGTGGTGCAGCGAGCAGTGCAGTTGGCTTACCTGGTCGCAGTCCGCGCTTGTCGATCCAGTTGTGCACCTCGGCGCGCTGCTGCTCGAGCTGGTCGACCCAGTTCTGCATGTCGGCGAGCTGGCTCTCGAGCTGCTCGATCTTCTCCGTGTAGGGCTGGACGGCCTGGTTGAAGGCAGCGGTAATGAGGTCGGGCATGCCGAGCCCCATCGGGGCGCTGCTGCCGGTCGGGGGCACCTGCTGGGAGCGGATGGGCATGTTGTTGTGGGTTGGGGGAGCACTCTGCGCGTACGTCGGCTCTTGGGGTTGCTGCTGGCGGGGATACATGTCCGGCTCCTCGGTAGGGGAAAAGGGCTGGCTGTGGTGGGACTCCTTACGGCTCGACTCGGGGCGCTTATCTGTGTAATCGTCGAATGACTGCGAGCGCGGGTTCTCACTGTTGTCGACGTAAGAATTGGCTCGGGACCGACTATGCAAAGTTAGTGCGCGTCACCAGATGCAGCGCGTAGCAGGTCCGACTTACCGTTTGAAGAACATTATGCGAAAAGAAGAGTCTGCAGCGAAGGGTGAAGGCCGGCGGTGTTATAAGCTGGCAGTTTAGAGGAAGCGAGATTGCGCCTGAAGATACGAATAAAGAATGGTTGGGCGTGTGGGAATTAGGCTTTCGATTCGCAGGAAAAGTGCGAGGTTGAACGACGGGCTGCTGTTGGCGGCGGTGGTTGGGGCGGGCCCCTGGTTCCAAGACACGATAACACGACTATCGATGATGCGCTGCGTTGCACACACACACGGCGCGTTGCACAAGACAGACTATATGTCTTTTGCGGAGCGATGGAGGTAAACAATGCGCCGCAGACGGTAGCGGAGGTAATAATGCGCCGAACGGATGTTGTTGACGAGCGTAGGCTTTGTATAGTCGTGCGTTGGGTAGGACCATTCTCGCATGCCGCCCAGCGCAGCATCCGCAGGCCCCCGCTAGTTTGTGGAGCCGAGCCTTCCCAGCCGCCCGTCCCCAGCCACATCACACCTCTCGAGACCGCTTCGAGCCTGCCGCCCGCCCATCTCGCCTGATAACAAGACAGCACGGTGGTGCTCCTTCAAGCGACCTCGCCTTCCCCACGCGGCTGCCGTCGCTTCCAGAGCATCACGACTGATTTAGGCACTTGCACAGCGCATTGTTGCCCAGCAACCCCAGCTCATCTCGGAAGCATGCATCTTCCTAGCTCTAGTCAGCGTGCGTTTCCTGCGTGTTTGGTACGGCGCCTCTAGCGATCCTACCGTTGCCGTAGTGAACCATACTTTTTGATCATTGATTCCCCTATCTCAACAGGGTTGGAACATCGCACCTAATCCAAAAGGAAAACTGGAGAGCCACCTCTACAGAACATGTCAAAAAGGGTTGATACGGCTACATTGCCTTGAAATTTCGTGAACTCATGTTTGTATAGTAATGTACAGTTCAGCGCACTTGTTCAACATTTCCCTTGTCTGAGGTGACCATACGCTCGCATACAAAACTAATTTTAAACTCACACTACAACTACTCCATACACCAACTACTCTACCTTCCCACTAGCCTTTCCGTTGACGGTCCCATTCCCCTGCGTTTTCTTGCTACCGCCAAACTCCACCCCCCGAATAGTCCACTCGCTGTAAATCTCGAGTCCGCTAACAAACACACCCAACAAGCTCGCAATAACAAAGTGACTAATCGTCGTTCCAATCTCCAGCCAGCTGCCCTCGTCCTTGACCATGTAGAAGAAGCTCAGTGTCATGACATCACTGACCGCCATCACCACCATGAAGAGGGCCGACGGCGCAACACCCAGGCGGCGGTTGAGGAGACCAAAGTTTGCCGACAGGGCCGCAAATGGCACCATCAGCTTGAGCATGAGAAGTGCGCCTTGAGAGAATGGATCGAAAATGGGAACCAGACGATAGACTGCGTCCAGCGAGAACGACGACACCGACGCGATGTTGGATGCGCTGAAAAAGGCCGACTGGATGAAGAAGATGAAGAAGAGGGCTATGCGGGCGTCGGCTAGAGTCAATGTTCTGTACTCCCCCTTTTGGAGCGAATCGAGGCGATCAGATGCAGCGTCCATGGTAGGCTTGGCCGGATCCGATGTAATGGCTGCAGCCGATGGGTTGCTCGTGTTATGCAGGTACACCTGATGCTCGAGGCGCATCCAGCTGAATAGGCACATGCAGAAGGCGAAGTAAAACAGCCCTTCGTACGAGATCGAGAGGATGATGAATGTCGGCGCAAACTGCAGGAAGATGACTACGAGGCGGTGGACGTAGTGTGTGTTGGGGTAGAGACCATGCAGTTGGGGAACGACGAGTGAGGCCAACAGCGTTGCTCGTGTCACTGTCAAAACGCCGAATGGTATGCCTACGCGCGCTTGGAGGTATCCGCTGCTGCTTTTGGTGACAATCATGGACAGCACTACGAGGCCGAGCTGGACCCCCAATATAATACGAGAGTTGTTGTTTAGTTCATGCTTGGCGAGTTCGGCTTCGGATTTACCGTCTTCGAGAATGCTCTTCTCAAAGAGCAGGTAAAGCGCGCCGATGACAAACATCAACGCACCTCCAAGAAGACTGCAGGTTGTTAGTCCCAGATCAATTCATGTGGGCGACGCGCTTACATCAGGCGAGTGTCCTCTGCCTTGTTGGCTGGAAGTAGCGTGAAAGCGCTCATGCCTATGCAAGACAAGACCCAAGTGGCAACTGTCGCCATGTTCTTCTTCACAAACTCCTGTCCATAGACTGCTGGCCACAATGTTGCAACCAGGTAGCATACGGTGTAGATTTCCCTGACGAAGTAGCTTTGGACCTATCTCTGAGTTAGTACCATCGTGTGTTTCTGTGCATAGCCTACGTACCAAAGCCTCGAGTAGACCAAAAAAGCCTAGAGTCGCAAGAACAAGCTTCGCAACATCGGCGCCTGAGTTCAGATGACCAAACAGAACCTTGCTGCCCTTGACGAGCGACAGCCTCTGCGCAAAGACTTCCTCCCAAAACAAGACAGGGAATACGGCGTATGCGTAGTAGACGATCGGTGACTCCTGTTTGAAGAATACTCCAGAAAGCGCAACAAACACAGAAGAGAACACCACCATACTAGCCGCCGTTCTTTGTGCTGGCACATATTCGGTGAGCACATGCAGGTCAATGACTGTCGTGATGGCGAATACGATCCATCCAACATAGCCAGCAGTCACCAGTGTCCGGAGGAAGAGCCAATCGTACGTCTGCAAGTAGCGCAATCCTTCAAGACCAAGATCGATGAGCTCGTAAGTCTCACGAATAGCTTCTACATCGTTGCCCTTGTCGATGAAAGCTTGTATTTCCGCAATGCGATGTTCGACAGAATGTGCCTCGTCACCAAGGCCAGAGAACGGCTTGTAGTGGAGTTGTGTCGACTTCTTGATATCCTCTTTGACGTGATACATTTCCAGTATTTCCTTAGCGTTGGCAAGAAGAGCCTCAGCCTTGGCTTTGGGGTCTTTGTCAAGATAAGAGAGCGGCAAGACTCCGACAGAGTTGGTGGGAAAGTCCAGACCGACCAGGTACGCCATCAATGCCGCGACGTCGGCTTGGTCAACGTCGTGTCGTTCGACCTCGTCCAAGTTCCAGTCAGAAGAAAACTCGGTGTGGCCTTTCGCAACGCCTGATGCGTTCTTCAATGGGGCTGCAACACCAGCACCCCATGCAATCAAGGGTGTGCGCGTATTGTCTGGATGTCCGTCTCCATGGCTTCCCCAGTCGCTCATGCCGTGGTCCGCTGTGAACACAAAGGACGTCTTGTCATCGTTGTAGAACTCTTCAATCAACTCCGTAATCTCCTGAACTCCACGGTCCACGATCTGAATGTTGTGCAAGTATTGCCACGAGTATGGTCGGTGCGCATGGCCTGTAGTGTCGATTCCAAGCAAATGGAGGAAGAAGACGTTCTTCTCCTGCCTCAATTCTGCGTCCAGTGTCGCGTTCGTTTTGGCGTCCGCAAAGAGCTTCTTGACGCGCTCGAATACCCATTCGTCCAACACCCAGGCGTCTTTGGAGGAATCCTCTTCTTCAGCACCATAGCAGTATGCGTCGACTCTCCCAGGTACAGCGCCCGCCTCAAACATGGGAAGAATGTCGGGACTGCCCCAGCTCCATGTATGCCGGCTTCGATTGAAGACGCTGTCAAAGTTGACCGGGTTCAGCTTCCACCCGGTCGTGACCGCGGAGACATCCTCGTATAAGCCTGCGATGAGCGCAACATGTCCGGGGCGCGATTCGGTGGGAACGCGTGTATGGGAGACGCCAAAGGTGCCATGTTCTAGGACGCGAGAGCGAAGGTACGGGGCGAGAGGTCGCGGGTCGCTGGTGTTGTCTGCGAGAGGGGTCGGAGGATTGGGATCAGGGTTGGGAAACGATTGAAATGCCTTGTCTGCACGGAGTCCGTCGCCTGTAATACTGTCAGTGCTGAATGGACGCCCATTTGACGCGACTCACCAACAAAAAGCACTAAACGTTTCGCGGGAGCTTCCTGCGTCTCCACGCGGTGCTCGCGCATGCCATGGACAATTGGACTTGTGAAATGTATGCTGAAGATTGTGTAAATGTACACCAGATGGAACACCACTGCTACCAGCAGGAACCTGTAGCGACCGAATTGCGCCATGGTAAAGGAGTGTGGGAACAGCAATGCGCTTCGAGGACACGTTTTGTGGACGCGTTGCAGTACTCAGATGGTTGCGGAGCCATGGAGGTATCCCTGCCAAGATCTACCGTCGTCATAGGCACAGGTACAACATCACGACTCAATACGCTACAAATGGATGCAGCTTTGACTTGTTATCCACCTTGATCTGGGCTGGACTGACACGTTCGTCGAGACGCACGTGGTGGTCGAGTTGGAAGGGACCGATCTCATCGCCCAAATAGGAAATACCGAGCTCGAGCTCCGCAGCATCACGCGTTCACACATGTTGAGAATGCAAGTCATTGTAGAAGCCAAGTCTTTACCGATTACCAAACGATATACCTAAAAGACCGTTGATGCTTGTATCATCCGTCCCCTCGTGGAGCCCGTCTATTCCTCAACATTGAAGTTCGCGCCCTCTCTCAGACCCTCGACAACCAGCTCGTGGCCCTCGGCCCGCTGGTAAATGTCCTTGATGTCATCTGTCATATGTCAGTATTTCGTGCACCATTTCAGACATCGGAAACATACCAGTCGTTGTCTCAAAGTGGCTGGTGGCGTCGTAGCTCTTCGACATGAAGATGTTGTCCTTGGCACCGCTCTCAATTGGCTCGTAGAGTGGGATAGCTGGGCCCATGAACTTCTCCTCGATCTTTCCGAGACGGTCAAGACCGGGCTGGAGCTCAAGGTGGTGGTTGCTGTCGCCCTCAGCGATGGTGGAGACAATGGCGATGTAGTAGCCCTTGGGGCAGACGTTGTGTGCAGACGAGACGACAGCGATGTAGATGTCTAGTGGAAATTGTCAGCAAGGGTTCTGTGGGCACACGGGTGTATACGTACC